GATCATAATTCTTAAAGGCTGGAATTCTCTAAAGCACTCGCAGAACCCGAGGATGTTCAGGGCCAAAACGAACACAACCGAGAACTTGAACAAGTTCGTTTAGTATGGTGTTAAGTTTATTGTCTTGGTTTACACAAACAGCCGACGGTCCAAGATGAAATAATTCACCGATTGGCTAAGTAAATCCGATAAGCTTTAACTAGGGAATGTTCAAGATAAAATATTTCACCTATCCGATGTTGTACTATTCACTAAGGAATTTTGACAAATAGATCTTATGCGATAAGATTGGAAGAACAATTTTATTCATGTGGGGGATTGTTGGAATTTTTATGATTTCCAATAATTAATATTGAGTAATATTAATTAAATAATGAAAAGATTAATTTCATATATTACTTGATCATAATCATAAAGTAAAGTGAATGAAAATTGTCTTGAGTAAATGGTTAAAGTTCAAAAGATGCGCTCAATGTGATCGAGTGATATGACTAGTTTGGTTAGGTGTCCACAAATATTACTTTTGGGAACATTTAGTAGTTAGTCAAATTATTTGAACCAAAATTCAAATAGTAAATATTTGGCCCAAAGCAAATTAATTAATTAATTGGCCCATAACCAATTAATTTTTCTACACTTGAACTCGGTGAAAAGAACAAACACAACTATGTGTTTCTTCTTCCAACCATTGCAACCTTCTACGAATGGATCTCTACCGCCTATGAATAAACACCTATAAATAAAGGCAGAATCTGGCCAATTCTGTACTGAATTTTATCGGCAATTAAGAGATAGTTCTTCATATTTCCTTTTCCTTCGTCAAAGTTTCATTCGTTGTTCAAGTTCCCCGTGGGTCGAATATTCGTGCAAATATTTGACAACCGATCATTGTACCTTGGGAGACTACTGGGAAGACACTGTGCACCGTTGACAGCCCAGAAATATTGTCTTAAGGGAATTGCTTTGGCAAGCCTCGATTGTTCTTTGTGTTTTTCACAATTCCTCTTTTCGACAAACTAGTAAGTATTTTTCGTTTACGCAGATTGTTATTTATAATTATACCAACAACTTATCAGATACGTCTGCGACCTTGAGGAAATGAAAGGAAAAATAGTTGTACAACATCTATAGCACAAACTTAGTGAAAGTGGATATAGCAAATGACATCGAACAACCTCAGCTGACGATACAGTGTAAGATGTAATGTTTGCGCACCCCGATTTGATCAACCTCTTGCAATTATTTACATGCGTTATACTAATGGTTTGCACTTGCAAGACTAACAAGTAACATTTGTTTAAATGTTATTATATTTTATTTACGAGTTGATAAAATTATAACACCTTCATGTAAATATGAACTGTCTCTTTTGGAAATTATTGGGGTTACTCCGGTGGAAAAGAACTTCACTATTGTTGTTGCTTTTATGTCACGTGAAGATGAGAAAACTTATGCATGGAATTTGAGATGTTTGCGAGATATATTACCACCCGGACCATAACCGGAAGTGATACTAATAGATTGTGAGTTGGGCGTACTCAAAGCATTGCCAAATGTATTTCCACAATCGAATCACATGTTATGTTTATATCACATAAACATAAACGTTGAGGCAAATGCGTCGAAGTTCTTGGGCAACAAAAAACACGGTATGTTGTTCCGGAGGTCAGTCTGTAAAATTATTGAATTTGGAGACTGATGAAGAGTATGATTGCAATTATAATGAGATGGTTAGATTTTACCGGGAATATCCCAAGCTAATAACATACGTCAATCATACGTGGTTGATTTACAAAGAGTGATTTATAAAATGTTGGACTAACAACATCGCCCATTTTGGTAACACGACGAGTAACAGTTATACAATAGGGTTTTCTTATTTTTGTTACATAAAATGTTACATTGATGTATTAATTGATTGTTTGTTGAAATAGGGTGGAGAATGCATATCGTGCATCGAAGAGTTGGTTGCAATCATCGACTGGAGTTATCGTTACTGAGCAAAATCAAATTGATGCTTAAGTTCACCTTCAAAATAATGAATTGAAGGTGAAAAACGAGAGAAGCAGAATGTACGGTACTTCATATCCGTGTTTTGGTACTTTGATATACACGTTTCACATAATGCATTGGACCTTCTGGATGTAAAGTTTGAGAAACTGCACGACAATTCGGACAGTTGTAACTGGTACCTTAGCAGAACGCATGGACTCCCGCGTGCGTGTCAGATTGTAGTTAAAATTGCTTAAGGAGATACTTATTACCCCTAACAGATACATCAATTCTGGAGAACATTGACCGTTGACCCGATGACAAGTCCATACCAAGAGGAGGAAATGTTTGATCGCGCAATTGCAATTAAGAAAGTTCCTTTCAGCGAGTTCGAGAAATTAGCCAAGAAGGATTACATGCCGCCGACCATTTATGCGATATAAATAATCCTGCATGAAGACATTTGAGAGAGCCGTCATTTGTGAATGCCAAGGGATGGCCTAAGAATAACTCGACAAAAAGAAATTTATCCGCGTATGAGCACATCATGAAACGAAAAATAGAAATTAAATCGTCTTCGGGTTCAAGGGGTCGCAAAATCCCGACCGAAAGAACGCCTAAATCAAAGTTCAAAGGTCATGGTCGCTGACATACTAAATGTACGGAATAATCAATAGTTACTACTCGAGAACGGGTCAATTTCTTTTCTTTCCTTCTTCCGTTTCTCGCACAATCTATAGCCTCATATTGTAATGTGAGGGTCGATGGTAATTGTGGGTAACGATGCATTGCCAAAATTATTTATAGAAGTCAACAAAGATGGCCACAAGTCATAACAAACTTGGTTGCAGAGTTATGGAGCGTCATCATTTATATGCTGATATGTTCGGTGGAGATGAATATTCTGACATCCAGTCATGAAAGCGGACCTGCTCCGTGGACCAAAAGGATGTCAACAAATATGGGATTGCAATTGTTACGAGATACAATGCTTCTAATATTCACTAAATTTGGTAGTTTTACTTATCTACATCTAATTGGGAATCCCGCTTTATCAAATATTATTCCTATGTTGTTACATCACTAGCATTTCATGATCTTTCGAGTACTGGTTTACTGCCCTATACTTTGCCTCCATCCTTAGTGGAGGTAGAGAAGATGAGAATTTGATCTTGTGGTTCTGTGGTAGAGTTTTTGTGGTTTTTGAGTTTTTTGTATTGCATCATTTTGATTTTTTTTTTTGGGTATTATAGTATTTATACATTAAATTTTTTAATTTGGTCTTACTCTTATTGAAATTAAGATTGCAAAATAGCCGCGGCCTACAGAAATTAATTTAATAATATGGTTGTGGTAACAAGGTAGTCAAGCATTGTGATAGTTAATAAACAGTCGCAAATGATGGCTCTCACAAATGAGGCATGATTATTATGTCCTGTAAATAGTCAGTTGCATTTTTCTGGGCATGTAATCCTTCTTGGATATATTCTCGAACTCATCCAAAAGAACTTTCTTAATTGCTCTTGTGCGATCAAATGGTTCCTCCTCTTAGAGTGGACATGCAACAGTCAATGTTCTCCATAATGTATGTATCTGTTGGGGGTAATAAGTATCCCCTTCAGAAATTTTAACTGCAATTAGACATACACACATGAGTTCATGGGTTCTGCTAAGGTAGCAATTAAAACTGTCCGGATTCTGTTGTAGTTTCTCCAACTCTTCATCCAATAAGTCCAATGCATTATGTGATATGTTGCTTATCAAATCACCAAAACACTGATATGAAGTACTGTACAATTCTGATTGTTCTGCTTCTCTTGTTTTGCATCTTCAATTCATTAATTTGAAGGTGAACTTGCGCATCAAGTTGAATTTGGACAGTATTAATAGCTCAACGATATACATGCCACATTGATGTGTGTAGATCAACGATAAAAAAAACCATCCAATATAATTTTCACCGAATGTAGCATAGAAATAGCGGTATTATCATATAGTAAAATTTTATTTTCGAGTGAATATTTTAATTACGGTGACATAAGCCACAGTTGGTAGAATAATAAAATTTTCACAATGAATTATATTTTCCTTGTTAACGTGTAAATTACGCTACGTGGATAATATTCAGCCGCCAGAATATTAATTAGTTCATTCAATCACAGAATAAATCATTATGGTAGGGACTCAATTTTTTCAAAATTGGTATATATTCAAACATTGATGTCTAGCAATACACATACATCACTGCATATTATTAACATATAAGATATGCGTCAATTTCACCGTTGGGTATTATAATATACTCCCTCCGTTCCCTATTAAGTGTCGTTTTTAGCTTTGCACAAGGATTAAGAAGCTCAATAAATGTGTCTTGATTTTATGTAAAATATATTAGAAAGACTAAAATAACCTTGATTATTTAATGATGTCATAAGAGAGAGTTAATATTTATAGTTGAATTAATAAGGTTAAAACAGGAAAAAATGCATTTAATGCGGTATTGGAAATCTAAAGTGACAGATAATATGGAACAAAAATATTTTAAAAAAGAGACAGTTATTGTGGAACAGAGGGAGTATTCGTAGTACTGTACTAACTAACCCCAGTATATCACAAATCTTGAAAATAAAAAAAAAATTAAAAAATAAAATCATCAACTAATTACTTCCTCCGTTTTATAATATATGTCGCTTTGGAGAATTTTTTTTGTTCTATATTATCTGTCACTTTAAATTTTCAACGTTTCATTAATTACTTAATTTTCAATTTATACCTTTATTAATTCTTTCTAATAGTCTTTTTTCAACTAATTTCTCTCTCTTATTAATTATAAGACAAGGTCATTTTAGTCTAAACATATACATTTTCTTAAAATCAAGACACGTTAATTGAAATTCTTAATCTTTGTGCAAAGCTAAAAAACGACAATTAAAACGAAACGGAGGGAGTAGTAATTAATTAGCCAAACACATAGTGAAAGTGTTGTTTAACACAAGAAAGCAAGCTAATTTCCGATCCACAACCTTGGTTTGGTGACGGATTAATGGATATGTACATTAGTTATTACACTCTTTAATTTCATATTTAATGCCACACTAATTCACCATACAACTTGTCGATTATGGATTAATTATTTCAAATCCCATCCCCTAATTAACACGTTTCTTCACAAATTACAAAAAAACATAAAAAAAAAAAAAAACAAAAAAAGAATATCTACATCGACACCGGGTTATAATCGAACACAAATTCACCGATTCAATACTAAAATAAAAAAATAAAAAAGGATAAAAAAAAAATCAAAACTCAAGAACAACATCTTGATCAATCTTCACCACCTTCTATATACAAACGTGTTCTGTCGTCGTTGTTGTTGTTGTCGTCGTTGTTGTTGAATAATTTTTTATTTTATTTTATGGTCCATTTATGACACTTTTCGGAGAAGTCGGCTCCTCGCGGTGCACAACGATCTTCTTGTCACTTTGCCGCCTCACGTACTCCTTCTTCCTCTTCGGTTTCCTCTCACTAACCGGAAAAGACGAAAAACCCCCTCCGACAATACTCGGCAACATATACCACCCGATCGACGTGCAAAGAATCGCGAAAGACCGTCCGTAAACCGCCAGAAACAACAAAATCAAAACCAAAATCACCGGAAAATAGAAAAACGGGTGCCTCATATTTTCCAACTTAAAACTCGCAGCACTGCATGATCGAAGACACCTCTTCTTCTTCGGCGGGGGAATATTCTCTTTCGATTCTTTCGATTCCTCCTTCGTAACCTCAGCTGATGATATTGTTGCTGCTGACTTTGTAATATTATTATTATTATTACTATTTACCGGCTGCGGCTGTTGTTTGGGCAAACTTTTGGTGCTGCTAAATTTTTTGTCCTCGTGATTATTTTTATCCTTGATTTTTACGACGATCGGCTTGACTTGATCGGAGTCGTTGGCATAGACGAATCGGACGAAGGAGATTTCTTCGGAGCCCTTTTGAGTGTAGATCTTCTGCTTCTTGGTGTCGAGATCGGCTAGGAGCGCGTAGAATTTGTCGAGGCCTCTGTCCGCGTATGGATTCTTGTTGGTGGTGTCTTTGCATATGATCTTGCAGAAACTCGTGCTTCTTTTCGATCTCTTCGGCGTGGGGCAAGGGCTGCCGTTGGATTCGTTTTCTTGATGATCTTCGTCTTGATTGCCGAAGCTTCCACTCCCACATATGAACATTTGATTAATATTGGCAAAAAAATAATAATATTTAGGTAATAATAATTAAATGGAATTGTTTTTGTGTGTTTGGTTTTTTGTTGTGTAGATGGATTGAATCTAAGAAAATGAGATGCACATAGTGTAAGTCTATATATATATGTATAGAGAGAGAGAGAGGGAGGAGAGAGAAAGAGGGGAGCACATTTGGTAGACTTGATCAAGAGAGAGAGAGATTGGTCAAGAAATGCAAAAAGTCTTGGCTTAGTCTATTATTCCATGGAAGCTTCTACTAATTCTTACATAATATATAAATTATAGTAAAATAATAATAATAATATATATTTTGGATTGTGGGGTTTTGACTTCTTTGTGATTGAATAGTACTAGCGCCATTTTTGAAGTTTAAAGGGCTTTTTAGTAAATTCACGTGTGCCCCTCTTTTACTTGGGGATTTATTTTTTTATTTGATTTGAAATAGTCTCAAATCTAAAATATAGGAGTAGTAGTATTCAAGTATTCATAAGTATCCTATAAATAGGTATATTAAAAGTAATTAATCTAAGCACGATGTTACTACATGTCGAATCCATACGCCAGCTGCAGTGTGTGATTTTATTGAAAAGAAAAAAAAAAGAAAAGGGGAATTCTCAACACGGTTTTTTGTGTGGTAGACAAGTTAGCATGTTGATTTTTTTTTTTTTTTTATTTGAAACACGTGAATTAATTTCACAATGTGTTTTTAACTTTTCTTAAATTCTAAACTAAATCTTAGTTAGTGGGTTAAGTAGTGCTTAGTAGATTTAATTATGGAATTTATCTTAACTTCCTAACTAACCCACTAACCCATTATCTTGAGTGCTCTTGTGGTTGGTTTTCTTGCAGATCATGGGCTGAGGAGTGGAAGCTTGGCAAGTCTATAAATACCAAACTCAAGACTCAAGATTGGTACAGATTTCGAGGAAACAAAAATAGAGCTGAAGTTTTAATCTCGAGAATTTTAGTGTGTTTTCTAGGATCTGTTGTACGTACTCCTTATGAGTACATTCTTTGAAATCTAGAATTTTTAATATCTTTCTTTTAGTATCTAGATTTGGTTGTAAGAGTGATCTTGAAAAAGATTCATTCATAAGGAAGAAGTTTTCGCACTCTTCTGTTTGTATTCTTGGAATACTGATTTTAATATATTTTTCCGTCCTGTAAAGGGCAAGTTCACAAGTCTTTACTTGTGAACATTTTTAATTCTGAGCATTGTCTTTTAATCGTTATATTTCCGCTGCATGTTGTCTCAAGTGTCATAACATTTTAGATAACATCTCTGTATAATACGAATTCGGGACCATAAAATTCTTTCATGATTTAGAATCCAATATCTTGAAATTTGACTGTAACCACCTTAATTATAAAATGAATTAGTTTTCTAATTATCTAATAATCAAAAGGTTACTCCATGTGCTTCAAATTAATTGTCACTCGGTTTTTTTTTTTTTTTTTTTTTTTTGAACCGTATTTGTCAATTTAGAATTTTAATGATGCATTAACTATTCTTTCTGAATTATGTCCAAAATTAGTGACAAACGTATTTTAGACGAACTTTATAAGTTTGGTTTCATAAAATTCATGCATATTTTTAGTTTTCTTAGTAATTGTGTACCAACCTAAAAAAAAGTTATTACGAAAAATGGATAGAGTATTTGTTTCCCCTTGTATTTACATTTTTTTTTCTCTTTTATCTATTTCAACTAGTTTCCACTAATTTTGTATCCATTTTTTTAGTACATTCTACTTGTTATTAGTGATGGATCCACATAACTTTTGTAAGGGGCCGATTTTTTCAAAAATAATACATCTAATAATCGGTTATTATACTTTTTTTTTGGGTTGCACCCAAATACTTTTCAGAGTTACTCACTATATCTTGCTAAAATAAAATAAGTAGGGGTGGCGTGTGCACATGTGATAAACACGCGAGTTTTAACAAAATCCACTGTCGTCCCGTCAAACAACGATTTTTGATTTTAAAGAACCAAATTTATGGGTTTTTTAAGGGTTTATGATAGACGGGTCCATGGTGGGTTTATAATATGACTCAACTCGAAACCCGTTGTAATATACGCAAAACTATTTAGAAATTAAAATAAATTAAATAACCAAGCATAAAATTTTAAATTAAGACCAACGTGAATAATATCAATGATAAATGTCAAGAGTAAATCAAAATTAATAGGTTATAACCATAAAGTCATTGAAAAAAATAACTAAATTCAAAGCTTTATAAGATAAGATTTAAAATAAAATAGATAACTATATAGAAAACGAGACGATGTCATCGTTATAGACATACGTTTTGACATGTAAGAGATACTTTAATTTATTCATGTATTATATTATCAATTTATTATACTACACAATTCAAACAAAAGGACTTCGTTTTGTATGGTGGGGTGGAACGGGTTTCGTAGGTACAAAATTTTTTTGAACCCGTCCTACATCCAAACCTGCGGATATTCTTCTCCATTTCAAGACTCAATCCTATTGATGGATCTATTCGTCTGGTCCCAACAGAACGATTTTTACTGGGTTTGACAGATTCAATGTGTTGATGATGATCCGACTTACTCACCCCTAAAATAAGTATATATATTATAATTTTGAAATAAAAAATATGCATTATAGTAGTACTATTTTAAAATTGTCATAACAAATGGAAAAGAAAATCCAGAATTTCATAAAAGAATAAAAAAGAAAAAAAACTGCGGTGCACTGTGGTGATATTAAAGATATTAATATTAAATAATATATTTCACTAACAGCTTACCATTTTGATTGAGATGATCATACAAACAACACTTTCTGCATGTGAATATCTTGTAAGGTAATCTTAAAATTGAAAGTTAGTAAAATTTTCAATTCTACACAAACATATTTAGTTTGACATTATTATAGACAAAAAACACTTCTTAAATTAATCTAGAAGAATGACTTATAAACTATAGTAGATCTGTCGAAAACAAAATTTTATCCATTGAAATTAAAGATCCCATTTATTGTATTGTATTGGATCAAGTTGTGCCACCTGTCAATTAATATTTTGTATTAGGGAGTAAGTACAATAAAGTAGTTGATTTTGATCTTGTTATAATTTTCTAACACGATTTTTCTGGATAAGGTTTTGTCTGTATATTTAGAACGACGTGTACCCCAAACTACTGCTGAATCTTGATCCTCTGCATTAAAACTATTATTTACCTCGTCTAAAAAACAAGAAAAACAAAAAAAATTCAATAAAATAACTTGTGAAATTAGGGAGCTGGTGCCACGTTTAAGTTGCAAAATAAAATGATATGTATCACAAATTTATAAATAATAACTAGTCAATCGAGATAGGGTGACTGAGTAGATGTGAGATATAATTGACAACCAATTTTCTAACATGCTAAAATATGTGGACAACTCTCTATTAAATCTCAAAATATAAAAAATAAAAAATAAAAATAAAAAGGATGGAATTAAGAAAACACTTGATAATACCTAACAATTAACGTTATATTTATCTCTACTTACTCGTTCGATTTATTTATTTACTAGAATATGTCGTATTTAACTAAGAGGGTGTTTGACTGTTTGGTAAATTTTTTTTTAAAGTATCTTAAAAATTCAACAAATAAAATATTGAAGAGCAAATAAATTTTTTTTCTTCTAAAATACTTCTATCTCACTTTTTTTTTTTATTTAAGATCTTATAATTACTAAAAATAGATTATATAATCGTGTTCCAAATACTTTGAAAATTAATTCTAAAAATAAGATGTGACATCTTATCAACTTTTAAAACTGCATATCAAATGTAAGAGTTTATCAATTATTTAAAATAAATTTAGCCAAACAAATCATAAATCCACATTAGGCGTAGGATTTTCTTTATTTTTTTTCCGCATACTCGTACAATAGCTAAAGATCATCGCCCCCCTCGGCCTCTTAGTGTAGCGATAGAGGGTTGGAGCGCTAGTGTGCTTTAGGAGGGGAGGGGAGAACTCTACATGGATAATTGCAGTTTATTGTAATAGTAACATGTGCTATATCGAATTGTTAAAAGAATATTCATTGTTATTTTATTGACTAAAATTTCTTACAGTTCAATTTCCTTTAGCAATTAGAAATTTAGAATCCCTATTTACGGGTTGTGTGCTAAAAAAATTGAAGCATTAGGAAGATTTTTGTCAACAAAATAATATGAGTAGTTTTTTCAGCAATTCAATATAATATACGGTACTAATTGCAATAAACCTGGACAATTGACATTAGCACCACCTGCCCCGTTTTTGTTGTTTTGACCGTTGAACATGATGATAAACCGTATACACAGTAATATTGAATTTTTTTCTTTTTTTTTTTACTGTATTGACCGATCAACATAGTTCTTTTAATTAAAAAAAAGGAAAAATAAATGAGGGGGCGACGGGAATTGGGTCCAATTGGGGGCCAATATATAATATTTGATAAAATTGGAGTATATATGAAATATTGGTTACATTAGATTCTGGTGCATGAAATTGGCGTAAATAAGATTTAAGGGGTATTTTAAACTTTAATGGGTTTGATTTTATTTTTAGTAAAAAAAAGGAAAAGGTTTTGAGTGGAAGAATTCGCAAATAAATAAGCTCCCATGTATTAGTAGTGAGTAAGTCAGATCAATCAACCCGTTGAACCCATCAAATTCGGTAAAAAATCATTCTACTAGAATTGGAAGGATAGATCCATCAATAGGAGTGGGTCCTGAAATAGAGAAGATCCGCGGGTTTGGGTGTGAGACGAGTTCACATTTTTTTAATACCCATGAAACCCGCCCCGCCATACAAAAACGACGTCGTTTTGTTTTTATTATGTACTATAATAAATTAATCTTATATATAAAAGAAAGAAGCGCTGGACAATCCTAAAAAACCCTAATGGTATTTATGTAATTAAATATTTTTAATATTTTTTTCCTCTCTACTAATTTCTAACTATAATTTTTAACAATTATTAAAATTGAAAACTAAATCCTGAAGAATCCTATCTAATGGTACTTTTGTAATTATTTATTTTTAATATTTTTTGTCTACTAATTTTTTA